ATCATCATCACCACCATCCTCATCATCATCATCATCACCACCATCCTCCTCCTTATCATCATCACCATCATCATCATCACCACCATCCTCCTCCTCCTCATCATCATCATCATCACCACCATCCTCCTCCTCCTCCTCCTCCTCATCATCATCAGCATCATCACCACCATCCTCCTCCTCATCATCATCATCGTCACCATCACCATCCTCCTCCTCCTCATCACCATCATCATCACCACCATCCTCCTCCTCCTCCTCATCATCATCACCATCCTCCTCCTCCTCATCATCACCACCATCCTCCTCCTCCTCATCATCATCACCACCATCCTCCTCCTCCTCCTCCTCATCATCATCCCCATCCTCCTCCTCATCCTCATCATCACCATCACCATCCTTCTCATCATCATCACCATCCTCCTCCTCCTCCTCATCATCATCAACATCATCATCACCATCCTCCTCCTCATCACCACTATCCTCCTCATCATCATCATCACCATCATCATCATCATCATCATCATCATCATCATCATCATCATCATCATCATCATCATCATCATCACCACCACCATCCTCCTCCTCCTCATCATCATCACCATCCTCCTCCTCCTCATCATCACCACCATCCTCCTCCTCCTCATCATCATCACCACCATCCTCCTCCTCCTCATCATCATCACCACCACCATCCTCCTCCTCCTTATCATCATCATCATCATCATCATCATCATCATCATCAACAACATCATTATTATTATCTTCATTACTGAAAGGATGCCAAGTGCGTTGGAGGCCTTTGACCTGATCCAGGAAGAACCCGAGATCAAGGAGGAGCTCAAGAGATGGAGGACGGAATTGATTAGAGTCAGCTTAATGATTACTTTATATTTAAGTCTTGAGAGACTATCGAGTTGCATCTTCTTGTTATTCTCAATCTGTCCCCCCCCTCCTCCCCTCATTTATTGTTCATGCTTTTAATTTTTTTATTTCTCTCTCTTTCTTAGAGTGTGTCACTTCTTCCCTTCTTTATCGTGGTATTGATATTGAGCGTCAAATGTCCTCCCACAGCAATATGAGGTTGCAAAAGAGTTCTTGTGTTATTGGCTCTGATATTGTGAATGTATTTGTTCTCGGTTTGAGCAGGAAGGCCATATGCTTGGATAGGATGATTATGTTGTTGTTGTTCTGAAGTAATAGAATTTTTGTATTAGGATTTTATGTGTTAGGTGTATCTTCTAAGTTTTTCATGGGTATTCATCGTCAAATTAATTCCCCAGACGAATATGTAATGTGCTTACCGTGATCATGAGGGAAAGATGATACTTTACTTGAGTTTTCTTTTTTTTTCTTTTCTTTTCTTTTCTTTCTTTCTTGCTTTTGTCACTATTTTTTAGGGGATTTTGCAATTAGAATTATCTTTATTCCAGTTACATTGGAAAAGGAAAATCATATTGGAAGCAATTAAGGTTCTATTTTTGTTTTGTCACTCTGATTCCTTTGGTGTCCTCCACCTCACAATTTCATATTAACGTCAAATTTACACTTAATGTAATAACATTAACTAAATTGGAAACCTATGTATGTATTGAATTGCATTCATGGAAAATTTAATTGGACGTAATATGTAATGGGGTGGAAATGTATATATCACTGAATTAATTGAGTGATGGTAAAGAGGGAAAGCCATATATATGATTATAGATGTCAAGTTGTTATTCAGATGTGTATATCAATATGAGAAATGGAAAAGATCTTCAAGGAAATGCAAGATGTTTGAAAAAATATTAAACTTGGAGGGATGGCTGGTTCCCTTGGGGAGCTGTAGATACCCATCAAAGGGATGCTGATATGTGAAGGATGTGACTCATAATAATAAATTCATAACTTTAATATGAATATGTTTGTATATATTAGACAAGACTTCAGAGACATGTACCCCCTTTGATCTCTAAGGCTGAATTTTTTTTTTTTTTTTAAGATAGGTTGAATATTGAAATATCTTCAAAGAAAATATGACTACCAGAAGATTCTAATATTTTGAAGAACATCCTTCCCAAAGAGAATAATAATTTCTGGTCTGCAAGAGCCAAGTAATGACATTTGAATTGAATAATACCCTATGTCTAGACTTCTAGTTATGTTCTTCACTCTAACTTACTATTTTTTCAGTACATCTAATATCTAGAACCAAAAAAAGTGGATATATGAATAGTGACTTTTTCAGTTTTATTCTTCAGTCTTGGTAAACTTCCAAGCTCATCCATTTTATAACGTGTGTGTGCATCCTTTGTACAGTTGTGAGATGTGTATATTTATGGCCTGAGAACAGTGCAGTATCTCACTCTTGTTATTCTTTCAGGCCATTCGTAGACACATCATGAAGCAAAGTTTGCGATGATGTCAGAGCAGTAAGAGAAATTGACTTCATAGCTTATGAAGTATTAAGTATCGATTTTAAAGTTTTTGGTATTAATCTTCTATTTCTCTTTCTTTTCAGAACTTTGAGGTTGTACCATACCCAAAGGAGAAGTATGGACAGTTCTACCAAGGAGATGCATACATTGTCCTCCATGTAAGTACCTTTTTCCAATGTATAGTATTATTATCTACTGTTTGTGGCATCCTTGATATTGGAAGTTGTGCTTGTAAAAAGGATTTTGATATGTGTGTGTGTGTGTGTGTGTGTGTGTGTGTGTGTGTGTGTGTGTGTGTGTGTGTGTGTGTGTGTGTGTGTGTGTGTGTGTGTGTGTGTTTCTGCCTTCCTCTCTTGCCTGCCTCTCTGTCTGTCTGTCTGTTGACATGTCTGTCTGTGAGCATATATGTATGCGTGCAAAACATCTAAATAACTGAGGACCATTGACTTATATCTGTTTGGAATTTTGTCCATTATGTTACAAGTCTAATTTTTTGCTCTAGAATTTCTGCCTGGCTAGTTGAATTTTGTGGGTAGGTGCACATAGTTCCTTTACCCATATACCTCACATTGTGGAATTAAGGTAACAGTTGATTTTATTACAGAGAACTCTTTAGGTGGTATTGATATGCCTTTATTTTCAGACCATTGATGTCAAAGGGACTAAGAAGTGGGACCTGCATTTCTGGCTTGGATCCCAATGTTCTCAGGTATAGTACATCTAAAAATATTGTATTGCATTTAACTCCAAATGTATTATTCTGTAGAGAGTTTGAGATGTGATAGTATGAATTTATAGTTTTCCATAAATGTTGAAATAAGTGAACTAAAGTGTCTTTTCCTGTGTTTCTGTGAATACTATTATTATAATGAAATTTGTTTTAGGATGAGGCAGGAGCAGCTGCCATCAAGACGGTAGAGCTTGATGACCAACTCGGAGGCGTTCCAGTCCAACACCGAGAGGTGGAAGGGCACGAGTCTTCCCTATTCCTCGCCTGGTAAGATGCTGCAAATTTGGAAGTAGGGAAGGAAGGAGAAGTTTACCTTTACAAATATTGTTATATGAATTTTGGAGTGTAAGATAACTGCTAAGTGAAACAATTATTCCATCTGCTTAGGGATATGATATATGTGATGGCATAGATAGCTGGATATAAAAACACAGTTGAGAAGGACCTGATACTTTGTGGATGCTAGTGTTCTGAAATTGTTTTCATAAGTATAAGTATATTTTATGTTAAGATTAAGATTATTTTTTTGTATTGTTTTTATTATTACTGTTGTTAATTATGAAAGGTTCAAGAAGGGTGTGAGATACCTGAAAGGAGGTGTTGCATCAGGGTTCCATCATGTTGACCCCGATGAGCCTTACCCAGCCCGCCTCTTCCACGTTAAGGGCCGTAGAAATATTCGCATCAGACAGGTTTGTTTTTAGGGAATACGTTTTCATTGGTACATTGTACTGATATTCTTAATTTTCATTGAAACATTATACTGCTATTTTTAATGTATTAAGCTTTGATGGCTGGTGAATTATAATTATAGCTTTGAGAGTTTTTGACAGTTTCTGATAAAGTTTACAATGCCTACTCATTGTATGATCTTTTTGATAACATCTTGGATATCATATACTCTATGAATGATCAGTTGTGACATGATTACTTACTGAATTATCCTTTTAAAGGTTGAAGTTGGTGTTGGATCCATGAACAAGGGTGACTGCTTCATCCTGGACTGCCGCTCTGAGGTGTACGTGTACATGGGCTCGGCAAGCAGGAGGATGGAGAGAATGAAGGCCATCATGGCTGGCAATGCCATTAGGGACGATGACCATGCTGGCAAGTCAAAGGTCATTGTTATCGGTAAGTAAATAAAAAAATGGTGTCCAGTTGATATAACTGACTTCATTAGTTTGAAAATATTTCAGTAGAGCAAGGAATGATTTTGTGTATGATTCAGCATAAGACATTTAGATTTTATCCTTTCTGTTGCAAGACAAACAATATCATAATCAGTTTTGCCAGTTAAATTTTTAGATATGTATTCATAATTTTGCAAGGTAGTCATTGAGAAAGCTCTGCTGTATATACAGGTATTTCATCACTTTTAAAGTTTTAAGTTTTCAGTTATGTACTTAGAGTTTGTGTGAAAGATATAAGAGTGTGTGAATTTTACAAAATGCCCTTACTATCTCCCTTCTTTCTTAAATAGTTACTATTTGCTAAATATATTTGAATGATATTTCCATTAGTAAGGAAAATTATTTTTCATCATTACTGTATACAGTCTGATTTGTAAAATGTTTTGATAGTTTTAATTGATGAAGATGAGGCATTTTGTAAGATGTTAATATTTTGTTTTTTGAGTTAGGTGATCCACCAAAGTTCACCAGCTTATACAGTTATGAAATCCAGTGTAAATGAGTCTTTCCTAACTACATAAATCTTTCTGTCAGATGAAAGTGCATCATCAAGTGAGATTGAAGCATTCTTCGAGGCTCTTGGTGGTGGCTCCCCAGATGACATTGCTGATGAGGATGCTGCAATGGAGGATGCTGCTTTCGAACGCTCAGAGAATGTATGTACTCTTTCTTTCCTTCTGTCTGTCTTTCTTTCTTTTTTCTTTTTTTCTGCCTTTCCTTCTGTATTTCTTTCTTTTCTTTTTTTTTTTATACAAATGTCATCATATCCTGTCACATTGTGCCAAATGTGGTCATGGATGGCACCATGTCATTACATGCCCTGCAACAGTGTTTCACTGATAGTCATGGTATCATTTGCTTGTAGTCACCATTAGATACAGGCATCAGTAGTGGAAGAAAACAAAAAAAAAGAAAAACTGCTTATCAAATCCAGCTACTAATTTTTAGCTGCCCAAAGTTATGCTTCAATTAACAAACAAGCTGTGCAGAAATGGGGCAAACTGCCAATGAGTGCGGATAATCTTGCATTACTAGTCCCAAGCCAGTTTCTATATCACGGCCTATGGATTACTCTCTAGGAGGAATGTCATATTTTTTATAAGTTTCAGATTGTTATTTTTTATAAGTTCTTCTTTGAGTTATTATTTCTATCCTGTCTTTTAATAACCCTTTGTATATAAAAGTCAGAGGTGTATCTGTTATAAAGATACACTATATTAAAAAATTTGTGAGAGTACTAAGTAATGATGTTCATGATTTCAACAGAATGTGATAACACTGCACCATGTGTTTGAAGATGATAACAACATCATCCAGACCAATCTCATTGGAGAAAAGCCCCTTCTTCAGAGCATGTTGGACTCTGGGGTAAGTCGAGGATTTTTTGCTGTGTTACACATACATTTATTGTCTTTTTTATTGTGTGTGGTGCTTTGGAATGATTTTTTTTTCTTTTTTTTAAGTCTTATTAAGCTTGTACCTGTTCCAAGTTGTGATTATTATTGATTATTATATATTTCTGATGTTCACAGAATTATATAGGTGTTAAATCTGTATTACATCAGATTGTTCTATTATTACTGGATATTGGCAGGCCAAATTTATGAAAAATGAGTTTATCTTTTAATTATATATTGACATTGAAAAGTAATTTTTTTGTCAGTTTTCATGCGAAATACTTATTTGATTTATAAAGACTGAATTAATCTCTTATTTTGCTTATCATATACACATAAACTTTTATTTATTATTCAGTTACTACTTATTTTTGTTTTGTTTTAATAGTATAAAGATGTGTAAAGACACACTGGAAATGTTATGATCCAATTAGCAAATTGTGTAGATGCACACGATATCACTATTCTTAGATATTCAGTTTATTCCATTATAATTTCAGACAGGTTTTGCAATTACTTCAAATGAAGAAGTGTACATATTTCTAAGAGAGAGTTATGGGCATGAGTACTAACTATTGCCAGATGATACTGAATTCTTATTAGTGATTTAGTATTAGACACTGCATGGGAAAATGTACCTTCATTTAGCATGTCAGTTGTCAGTTTTTCTTATGCCTTTCATAAAATGAGAAAGACCTAATTTAAGTCAATCCTTATTTGTTATGTTACCAGAATATTTAATGACCGCAATAATTCTGGTAATTCTTTCAGATAGTTTTTTTAAGTCCTGTTGATGTGAATGTTTATAAAAACTAGGGATTTTATATGTTCTTTTTATTTGTTATTCCAGCAAGTGTGATTTTTGTTGTTACTCAATTGTTCATACCCATACTAAATGACTTGTAAGGGTGATCGTTAGTGATATATTTAGTAGTGATTATTTGTGTAAGTTGCAGCAAGATGCCTTAAAAATTCTGAATTATTTGTGAAACCATGTGCAAATTGAAGCTTTATTTTGAGATAATTTTTGGACAACATTTATTCTTTAGGGTTTAATTATTTACTTGAATGTGTGCAAAATTCAAATACCACCAAAGTGTGGATGATATTAGACAGTGAATATTTGATTGAGAGGTAATGTCATACTGCTGTTTATGTGGTTTCAGTTATTAGTTTCATAACTATAAAATGATACCATATTATTTATTTTTAGTATAGTATCAAACAATATTTAGAAACTGCAAATTTCCAAGACTGTAACCTAAATGAAGGTTGTTTTGCTAGATTCATTCTGAATTTTGCAGTATTAAGATGAGTGACATTTGTTATTTTTTAACTTTCTTTTTCATCAAAACTACTTTTTTCAATATACAGTATTGTATTTATGGGTTGATGTTGTTGCTACAACTAGTGTTTACCAAGAGGAAGAAAGAGAGTGTGAGCGAGGCCCTTAAGACAGGAATCAAATTTATTACCAGTTGGACTTGTATCTAATAGATAATATGTCTCCAGTTTATATTTTAGGGGATTAGAATGAATTATTGTATAATTCATTGGCTATACCAATTTGTTTATGAGCAAGTTATTTAATTTCATATGATTTAGAATAAGACTTTGGAACAGGGATGAGGATTAACTAGTGTTATTCCCAAACATCATTTCTGTGTTTGGTTTATTGGCTATTACTCTGACACTTTAATTGATTTGTCATTTAAGATATAAGAAGATATTTAGGAATATCATTAAAACTTCATTTTGCAAGTAAGCTGTTATGCTTCATAATTGCTTCAGGACAGTATAGATTGGCTGAAATGCTCTTGTGAGGCACTAGTAGGAATGGAGTTACAAAGAATATCTTTGATTAAAGCATAGTGCTAGCTTTTCTTAAAATCAGAGGTTCCCTAAGATACCCCAAAAAAACATCAGTCATCTTCAGTTCGATAGAAAATGTGCAGTTTCTTTTTGGATGGATAAAAATGTAACTTGTACTGTACCACAAAATTATTTTATGGTATAAATCTAAGCTGCAACCAAGTTTTTTCTAACTTGCTCAGGATATTTCTCTGATCAACTACTGTGATAATCAGTAAATTTTCTTATGCTTTATATACAAGTATATAAATATGTAAATTAAAGAAAGTAAAAGTGGACTACAATATGACTGATGTGAAGTGCATCCATGCACATGCTCTTCCACACGTAGACCCACACCTACACCCATACCCACATACATATGCACATGCACAAGCACTAACTACAAAATCACTTGCACTCACAGTTATAATTTGTGAGTGCTATTAAGTCTGTGAAACTCATAAGATCATAAAAGTTTGCAGTTACCCTTATAGGAAAATTAACATATCCCTTGGCAAGAGAGGTGTACAAAGTACCATGTTTTTGAGCTTATATTTTTCAGAAAATACCAATTATGTGATAAGAGATACATTTTTTCAGATGATTGAAATATTTTTTTTTTAATATTTACTTAAGTCAGCAGAAGTGAATTTTCTTTGATCACTTTCTTTATTATGTATTTACAGTTTGAAGATTTAGGTATATACATGATACATAGATTAGTAACCAAGAAATTGGAAATTCATTTGTATTGGTAAAAACTATTTACACTGTACTTCTGTTGATAATACAGACTACAAGGCAGAGCACTGCAAACTGCAAGAACAAAACAATCAAGAATAATTGTCTTTTGTGCTAAGCATGGAATGTAATGATCGCACTAATTGACAGTTCATGTTAATCATAGTTCTGTGATCATGATAAACTGACTCTCCATGAAATAAGAGATGTGATATTTTAGGAGGAGTCTAAAAAGTTCAGCTATTTTATGGTTTGATTGATAATAATCTACAAATATTTTAGTATAGGCAATGTAAATGTGTATTTATGTTTAGGCTTATGATGATTTTATTTATTTATTTATTTATTTTTTTCACTTTTTTTTTTTTCTTTTTACAAGTGTTAGCAATTAAGTTTACTTGAATAATAAGCAGAGACTTTTACTGATCAAAACATTATTAAGATGTAAAGGTTTTGTCAAAAATACTAATAATAATTGTGATGGATCTGTTCATGATTTATTCATTGCAATTGCCATATATATATAAATATATATATATATATATATATATATATATATATATATATATATATATATATATATATATATATATATATATATATATATGTATGTGTATATATATATATATATATATATATATATATATATATATATATATATATATATATATATATATATATATATGTATGTGTATATATATATATATATATATATATATATATATATATATATATATATATATATATATATATATATATAATTTTTTTTTTTTTTTTCTTTTTTCTTTCTAAAATATATTAGATTTTTTATTGCATATTTCAAAGCACCATTTTCAGTAATACATTTTTGCATTATTGAAATTGTGATATTAGAATATTTAGACTATATACTTAGCAGAATGATTCCTCTTCATATACATTTAAGGGGTAAAGTAGATTTACTTCTCACGCTGAATAAAAATTATAGTTCATCTTTAAAAGGAATTGGTTAGACTGCATTTTTTTTTTATTCATGAAAATTTATTAGTCAAGTTAGTTATTTTTTTCCAGAATATTTAATTACGAAGTTCCTTATGATGGTATTTAAAGAATAAATGTTGATACTTTCACACATCTCCCAATATTTTTCATACGTGGCTGTAGCGTCAGTGTTCTAGCAGCAGTGTGGTGTTCCCTTGGTCTTGCTTATATAATTAATTGGAGAATTGTCTAGCACTTTGATGATAAAAGTTTTTCTTGTTTTGTTGCAAATCCTGTAGGATTTAAAAAGTTTTTTAAACTGTTAATTTTTATTTTCTTTATTTTAGTACACTTATTTATACAAAGTTTGTAACCTAAATGTCTGCTTCGTTTTTCCATAAATCCCATATTTGACTCGAATTGATTGTGGCTTATACCTCTCCACACAACAGGAAAACCAGCAGGTAAATATGAGTTGATACGGATATTGCACAGTATGGTCACTTGGTTCTAATGTATTGTATATGTGTTGCATACTTTTGTATATCACCAATGGCTTCTATTTGAAATGTTTCTCACAGCTTTTGTCATTCATCTGTTTAAACAGATTTTTTCTTTTCTTTTTCTTTGTTTTTATTTTGTTTCCTTTTTATTAGCAATGGGGTTATCCCATTTCTTTACTAAAAATATGTAGGTTGGTTTAGTAATTTGCTAAAGAAACTTAGTTATGTTGTCTTGTAGATAAAGTGTGTATAGGAAAGTATATCAATTTACTTCTGCTTTTAAAAGACATATTCAGTAGTAGGCAAAAGCTTATGCTTTAAAAGCTTTGAAATTATATGCTTTTTTGTGTATATTGTTTCCAACAAGACTTTAACAACACTTTTTAAATTGTGTCCCCCAAGGACCTTTGTATAAATAATGTATCTGTGTGTGTGGGTGAATGCGTGAAATTTGGTATTGTTTCAGTTGAGTTTATATCTCTTAACAATAAGACTACCAACCCCATAACATAAGGTTACTTTACAAATGAAAAAAACTACATTGTCTACGTTGCTTATGTTTTCAAGGTATTAGGTCTTAACTATAATTCTATTCAAATTACTGCAAAGTACCAGTGCATTGTCATTTACAGTAGAAAACAAAACAACAGTAACATTATTTGCTTTTCATGAGTAAGTTTTATTAATTTAGAACTTGAAATGTGATTTTTAACTCATTGTAGGATCCTAACAAGTAGTAGATAAAATTAGAGTACTTTTTAACCTGTAAGGCAAATCATTTATACTATTTGATCTTTGCATGTATTAAGCTACTAATACCATAAATATATCTGCTAGCTTATTTTAGCTTTAGAATTTTATGTATCATGAAAAATTACTAACAAAATATGAAAGGTATTCAGAGAGTTTAGTTGACAGGTGATTTGTAAGTTAAAGCAAAAATGTATCTTCACTTGTTCTTTGTATTGAGTTTGAGAGTAATCTTATCTTTATTTTTGGAAAAACTAAAACTCTGAATATCTGTTATTGCATAAGGTGATGGTTAAAATCCTCCATATTGAATGTGTCCTTTTGATGAATGATATTCTGGAATTACCTAGTCCTGAAACATCTGCTGTAGCTTATATACTCTTAAGAAGCAGAAATATATGCCTGTATATATAAATCTTCCTATTTTTATATTTCTGATATATGGTATCATATGATTATTTTTCTAATGGGTTAATTGATTGCTTATGGTTTAATTTTGTTGCTGTATTTATTTTATAGCTGAAAAATTTTATAGCTGAGAAATTTTGATTTACAAATATATCTCATTTACAATTCTTTGTTTATATATTTTTTTGTCTATCTACTATGCTCATTTTAATTTATATGACCTGACTTAGTATATCTTGAAGGAAAATTTCTACTGTGATATAATGTGGTGTATGTTAAAAAGACAGGTATTGCTTAACAAGTTACAATATTGGTGGCTTGTTATGTTGATTCCTTCTCATTATGTAAACATTTTTAACCTACACCCCAAAGAGCCTTGACAGAATGACTAATCTTCTTCATTTTCATGCTGCTAGGACTGCTTCATTCTGGATACAGGCGTCAGTGTCTATGTCTGGATTGGCAGCGGATCCAGCAAGAAGGAGAAGGTCAAGAGCATGGAGATGGCTGGTATGTTATGTTTGATGGAATACAGGAGTTAAAAGTATGTGTATGCAAATCAGTAAAGCGACTGATAATGGGAAAGCATATTTTTCCTGTATTTATTTTTTGTATGTTTATATACTCAACTTCAAATCTGTGATTTAACTGTGCATGTTTATTATTTTTGTGCTGAAGTGATGCCCTTGATTATCCACAGCTGGATATATGGAACAGAAGGGCTATCCAAAGTGGATGAGTGTGCAGCGTGTTGTTGAGAAGGCTGAGCCTGCAGTTTTCAAGTCCTACTTCAAGATGTGGAAGGAGCCAGAGGAAACCGTTGGTCTTGGCCGCGTCTTCACCCAGCGACAGATCTCAACTGGTTTGTTGATGTTTGAAATGTATATAGATTTATATTTGTTAATGTATGTTAGCATTTGGATGTTAAAGAGCAGTTTGTCTCGAGGTCTGTCGAGGTCTATATTTGAATAAGGCTTGGTGGGGATACTCTAGGGAAAATAAGGATTAATTAAGGATGTATTTTCCTTCCAGTTTCTGTACCTGAAGTTGACTTTGATGTCAGCAGCCTTCACTCTGAGAAACGTCGCTTGCTGAGGAAGAACGCTGGCCCAGCCTTTGGCTTTATGCCAGATGACGGTTCAGGCAAGGTTAGTGGAAACCTGTTTTGTTATCCTTTTGTTTGGTAAAAATATTTAGTGATGTTACTGCAGTCTTAATTATTGTTAAATTATGAAATATTTTTTGTGATAAAGATCTTAATTATATTTCTTTGTAGATTGAGATTTGGCGAGTGGAGGACTTTGAGCTGCAGCCGGTTGATGAGGGAACTCATGGCTTCTTCTTTGGTGGCGATTCCTATGTCATCAAATATACATATGAAATTAATGGACAAGAAAAATACATCATCTATTTCTGGCAGGTGTGTGGAATAAGTTATTTTTCCTATTCTGAATCCAGGGACAACTTTTTTTTTTAGGTTAAGGTATATAATATCTACATTTTATATCTGTTAACAAAGAATTTTATTTAAAAAGTGTTGAGATCATATTGGAAGTATACTTTTACATCAGTCAGTCAGATTATGCATCTTTTATGCTTCTAGGAAATATGTGACTGTCATGTGATGGGAAATTTCACTTTCCCTTGCCTGTATGTATATATATGTACACTTGTGTGCATTTATGTATACACACAAGTGTTTATATATATGTACGTGCACATGTGTTTGACTTTGTACATGTTGGTCTCTTCATAATTTGTATTTGAGTTTGTTTATGCTCTCAGGGCATTGCTAGCAGCCAGGACGAGAAGGCTTCCTCAGCAATCCATGCTGTCCGACTTGACAATGAACTTAATGGAAAGGCTGTCCAAGTGCGTGTTGTTCAAGGCTATGAACCTGCTCACTTCCTTAGGATGTTCAAGGGTAAGTTACAGTTATAAAATACTTTTTATTAACATCAGCTTTCAACTTGTTGAAGCAGTTGAGCACAATTGATGCTGTTTCATGTGTACAGCAGCAGAAAATTCAAACACTCTTAACTTTTCAGTGATATTTTCATGTCTCCTAGCTTTCTGGGTGCAGTTTTAAGTATTTTGGTCAATATCTGATCTCATTTTACAGGGGGATCATTTGTGCCTGATTTTTAAGGACTTTTCAACTTTGGTTTATTTTAAGAAATGTTAGATTCAGAATTAGCTTCTAAATTATATATATATATTTTTTTATATAAAAAAGGACACCTAAAAAAAAAAAAAGAGAATTCAGGCACCAAAAATATTTCAATTTCCTACAAAATGGGCTCAAGTATAGCCCCAAAAAGCCAAAACTACTTCTGAAATGCTCATCCATGCAAGGCATTCAATTTCCAATATTTTCCTGTCAGTTACAGTAAA